AAAAATGTAATGAATACTCTAAATTAATTGCCAAATCTAAATATTTACAGGAAATTCAAATTCAGGAACAAACTCTTAATTATGAACAACAAACGGACACAATAACCCAATCTATGGATGTACAAGAACTGAAAAATCAACTTCTCACCTTTGCACAAAAACGTAGGCAAGGACATTTGATCAGGGGAAAATTAACTAAACATCAGACCAAGGGTCAGATGGATGCTTCCTTTTTTGCATTAGCCCGATCAAGAGCCAAGAGATCGACTATTGAAGCTTTGATAGATCCTACAAAACCACCACAGGAGGGGAWTGTATCCTCAGCCAGMAGTCTGAAGACAGCCTATGATTTTTATAAAAAACTCTTTGTCTCGAATGTGAATAAGGAGAATACTGATCAAGATATAAAAAGTTTTTTGGAACCTMTAACACAATCTCTATCACAGGATCAACGAGACAGGATGGAGGGGYCAGTCACTAAAGAAGAAATTTGGACTGCCTTGTTGCAAATGGAGGAAGACAAGACACCAGGGGTAGACGGTCTTCCTAAGGAATTTTGGGAGGCAATGTGGTCATCCTTCTCTGAGGATCTAATGGAATACTATGAACAGGTCAAACAAACTGGTCAAATGGGGGAAATAGTTGGTCAAGGAATCTTGTCCTTATTATACAAAAAAGGAGATAAAACAAATATCAGAAATTATAGACCCATAACACTACTAACAGTGGTTTATAAGATGTTGGCCAAAGCATTAGCAAACCGTTTTATACAAGTAATGGCTGATATTATTCATCCTTCCCAAACAGGATTCATTAATGGAAGAAATATACAGGATAATATATTGCTAATTAATGAAATGATTAAGTTATCAAGGCAGAATCATCAGAATGCAGCATTTGCATTTATTGATTTTGAGAAGGCATATGATCATGTAGATTGGCGCTTTCTTGAAGCCTGTATGGAAAAATTAAACTTCGGTCCAAATATAAGAAGATGGATACACATACTTCATTCCCATGTCACTACTAGAGTTCAGGTCAATGGGTTACTTTCCCCAGAAATTCATCTTCACCGATCAGTACGACAAGGAGATGCACTAGCTCCTTTTATTTTTTTGATTGTCATGGAAGCTCTGGGAGCGAATATAAGAAGTAATCACAATCTAAGGCGTTTGCAGATTACAGGTATCCCAAAAGCGGCTATTCCAATTTGTTCTATGTTTGCTGATGATTTAACAATCATGATGGAGGCTTCGTCAGCAAACATGGAAGAAATGAAAGCTCTTATGGATAAATTTTCCTTAATATCAGATACGGTAGTTAACTGGGGGAGTAAAACGCAAGGGTGGTGGATTCATTCTAACGGAGATAGACCTCCAGAAATACCTAAAGTGAAATGGCTTCCACATGAGGCCCCTATCAGAGTACTAGGGGTAGTGCTCACAACACAAGGAAGGCCTATTACTAATGATACATGGATATCTACTCAGGCATTGGAAAAAATGAAACAATGGAAGAATCAACATACATCCTTATTTGGTAGAACTCTTTTAATCAATGATGTGATATTGGCATCTATATGGTACAAGACAACAATATGGGCTCTAAGCAAGGAATCAGCTAAGGGTCTTATCAAACAGATATCAACTTTTCTGTGGAGAGGAAACCATGAGTCTCAAAATGTCATACCTCGGATAGCATGGCATGTTCTGATCCAACCAAAAGACAAAGGGGGGCTAGGTATTTTGGATCCCTTACTCCAATGTCAAGCATTGGAGCTACAATAGTTGAAAAGACTGATCATGGAAATAGATCTTCAATGGCAAATCCTAGCTTTGGAACAAATTCGACGATTGGCACCTCCTACCACAAGAGAAGTTCATCCTCTCATATGGATAGAGGATAGATACTGGAGCATACCCCGGCCACGTTTACAGTCTAAACAGGAAGGAGAGAGAGGGGAGATCAGAAAGGATCTTAATTTAGATAATTTTTGGCCAAGGTTACTAAAAATATGGCGTGAACTCCCCATCCCCAATAAATCTCCTCCTTCTAGATATGAGGAAGTCCTCAGGCAACCCATTTTTGGTAACAGATGGATTACTAACCCAAATGGACAAGTGTTTACGAGTTCTGAGTCTCCTTGGTCCACATGGGTCAAGTCAGGGGTTGTGAGGATTAAGGACCTTTGGGATCCAGCAAGCAAAAATTGGAAATCATCGGCACAATTAAAAAAAGAGATTAGATATGCTAGAAATCTTAAGGACAATTTGGAGTTGCTACTGACATCTATCCCTCTGGCTTGGATAGTCATTCTTAAAAAGGGATCGGTTTTTTTGGAGGCCGACTGGGTTTGTGCTATTCAGCCAGATGAGGTCCAGGTAATAGGTCAAATAATTAATGTGCATCCAGAAGGAGCTCTGGTTAATATATGTCAGTTCCAGAAGGATTACACAATAGTACAAGGTCAACAAGATAGGGTTTCCTTTTTTCCTTATGAAATGATGTACAGAATCAGGGTATTGTATTGTTCATTGTCTAATGGCTGGAGAGTTTACAATCCACAACGCCCTATCCCCGAGCTACCTTTTGACCCAGAAGAATGGATATGGAGAAACAATAGGAGATGTAAACCGCAAAAGCTGCAAACTTTAACAGTCAAGGCATCGTGTCGTCTTCTTCGCCCTAGAGTGGATGTTGTTGCTATATTGCAAGAAAGATGGAACCGACATCTCAACATATACATGGAGTCACTCCGGCAAGTTAAGTGGAATAGTGCAGTTAAGGAAAGGCCGACAAAATTTGCATCATTACAATGGCAGATCTCGCACAGGTGCCTCCCAACTAATGATTGGTTAATTGATCACTCTTCATTAGAACAACGAGGATTGGCTCTTCCTTGGTGTCAAGCATGTATCTCTGTCTTTCCAAGTAGGAAAATTAGAGAAACTATCGAGCACATTTTTCTACAGTGTCCAGGATCACAACTAATGTGGAGACGTTGGGACTATACCTGGAAAAAACTAACAGGTTTGGACTGGCCATGGGAATGGCGTGCTTTACTCCTGGGACACTGGATACCAGTAATGTTTACTTTGACCACCTTCCAACAAAACTTATTCAATATGGGAAGAAAGGCAATCATATGGGTGTTACGGTATAAAAGGTGTGTTTTAACATGGGAGGAGGTAAAAATTGAAGGGAATGAAGTAGCTGAATTAATTATACAGTTTATTCAAACTGAAATCAGGGCACATTGGAACAGAACCGTCTGAACTGAAAATGCTTACACAAAAAAAAGATATAAAACAAAAAATTTCAAAATTCCAAATAAGCTGGCTGGGGGATACTTCAAGGGAGAAACTGGGGGATGTATCTTGGCCAGGTGGAGAAGGGAAGGAAGTCCCACTAAAAAGGGACTATCTGATCACTTTCCGGAACTGGTTTGACATCAGTCCAGGAGCTTCATTGAAATCTCCAGATCTGTTCCCAGATCCCTTCCCGCCATCTGAGTTATCTCTTGTTGATCTAAAATGGTTTGGTATTGAAGAATCTTACAGTTGGTGCAGCTAGTTGCTATTGGATTATCTAGCAGGCTTTTGACTGGCTGGACCACTGCTGTTTTTCCAAGTTTTTTCCTGTTCATTCTGATTTGAGAAGCAATGCCAAAAAGAAGAGATAGGGAGGGGGAGGAATTAGCATGTAGTAGCAAGATCTGGCGCTGTTCTCATGGTGAAGAGATTCCTCTACTCTGCTCAGTCAATCCCCTGATCACCAGGGAAATCAATGCTGGCAGATATCTCCCTTGACTCCTTTGATTGTTTCCAGACATGGCTCAAAACTCATTTGTATAAGGGACGCTGGACCCGTTTTCCAGCAGGTGATACTCCCCACCAATAGATGGAGTTTTTAAAAAAAAAAAAAAAAAAAAAAAAAAAGACTTCCTGCCTGAGAGGCTACACAGCATCTGCGAGCGGCGGCAGTGGAAGAGCACCCGTCAGTGGTGGGAACGCTACTCGTTTGGAGGAAGCAAACTTGAACTGTATCCATGGTGATCTTGGTCCGTTGAATGTTGATGCCAATGAAGATCCAAGGGTGTGTGGTGGGAAACCCATCTAGGCGCTTCAGGCTTCCTTGAGTTTACAGATAGGTACTTGCTCTCTTTTCTGTAAGATTTGACGCGAAGCTGGGTAGGGCTCCCAGACAGATAGTGGGGTTTTTCAGTAGTTCCTGGTTATTTTCCTCCCTTTATTTCTGTTTCCGTTTCCGAATTTTTTTGGTCCAGTTGCATCATACTTTCTTTGGAGTTGCAGACCATGGGACGCTGGACCCGGTTTCCAGCACAAGCGTCACTCCCAGGTTGAGATGTTGAGGGATTCCCGGCCTCATTCGACTACTTTTATAATATAAGCTGCAACTTGTTAAAAAAAAATAAAAAATAAAAAAAAATCAGACCAGACAAAGAATCAGTCGTCAACAAAAATCAGCATCAGAAAAATAAATAAATATTAAATACTGAAAAGAAAATGAACAACAATGGGACAAAAAATGAACCTAGGAGGCTAGGCCTAGAAAAAATGGCTGTGGCCCCTCCAGGCTGCCCAAAATAAAAGGGTGTGCAGCCTGGGAACCGAAGTGCAGAAGTCAGACCTTTGGGGCCCGTGCAGCAAGGCCCAACATGCTACAGATGGGGACAGAGGGATGGATGGGCGGGCAGAGGGGTGAACGGAAGGAGGGGAGGAAGGACGGAGGGAGGAAAGGACAGACAGACGGACTGACAGAGGGAGGGAGGGAGGGAGGGATGGAGGGATAGGTGGATGGGCAGAGGAGTAGATAGATAGGTCACTGTATGTCGAAGAAAACAATATTATCTTCATTGTCTGCAGAAACTCCTATCGTAGGAGAGACAAGTAAGTCGAGGGACTCCTTGAACATTGAGACATTGGATGCAATTTTAAAACAGAGCTTGAGACGCTCTTTTTTTTCTCTCGTAATGGTACCTTCGAATGCTCAAACTGCACGAAGTTCTGTTGGTGGAGCAGCTGAGTGGCTTTGTTAAGCTTCCCCCGGACGTCGCTCAATTCCTGCTGCAGCCTGACGACTTGCATTTCCAGAAGCCCTTTGCTTACAGCCATTGAAGCCAATCCCTTCCATTATATCAAAGAAGACAATCGCATATCAGATCAGATTCTAAGTTCTAAGCTTCAATCTCTAAGCTCTAAGCTCTAACAGATATGAGGACCATGGCAAGTTTAAGAGACACTTTTTTAATACGACAAATAAGTACGTGAAATAATACAACAGATGGAGCCAAATGTCTTTTCAACAATTATAAAGGCAAAAAAAAAGTGTAAGTTTCAAAAAGAACATTACCGTCATAAATCAAGATGAGGAGGAGGAGGAGGAGGAGGAGGAGGAGGAGCTTTGGTACCTTCCTTCCTTCCTTCCTCCCCCCAAGTTGCAAATGGTTTCTTTATAAATCTGACAAGATCTTTGAAAAAAATAAGAATAAATGAAGAATTGAAATTTGAAACCTAGGCGTAAGGAAATGGATATGGAGGTAGAGATGGGGTCGAGACAAATTAGGCCTGGCATGGTAAGAAACGATGAAGGACTGGCATGCGGCCTGAAGGAATGCTCAGAACCACCCCCCTTCGGTGCCATGCGCCCCCTGGGGGCTGCTCTACTTCGTGTCCGGGTGCTGCTAGTAAGCCTCCCGACCAGTAGAACATTCCCCGAGGATGGATCGAGGTTGGGGGATGGGCGCTCTGTAACAGCCCCCCCCCCCCTTGTTTAGGCGTCTAGTGCCGCAAGGACTGGGCTGACCCCCTCTTCTTATCTTCTCTCTCTGCTACATTTGTGTACAACATGCTTGCCGGCGATAAGCAACCACACTGATGCCCCCCAGAACAGAAAGTGGAGTGAAGGTCTTTTTCGTAAAAAAAAAAGGAAATCTAAGCTTAGCTGTGTTAGACACTGTAGAGTCTAATAGNCCCCCCCCCCTCTCCAGTTGTTCAAGACATAACCATGGATAGTGAAGATGAAAATAGCCGGGAAGATTTGAATTTGAGAATCCGAGCGGCAGGCATCGTCACCAGACATTAAGTAAAGCCGTGATGAAGCCACGAAGAGCCGAGATGGTTTCAGGGAACTAGCAGCATCTTCAGAGAAAGAACACCGAAGTATCTAAGAGCTTGCCAAAACATAATTCTGGCTCGATCAGTCGAGCCGCCGATGTACTCAATCGTCAGAACCCGAGAGGAAAAGACATAACCACCACAGCAACGACCAAGGAAATCGGGAATGAGAAACAAAGTACAGGATTCCAAACCAGCCGTACAAGCTGAGAACGGGACTATTGAACGCTTCCATCCTAAGAGCGATGAAAAACGTTTTACAAAAATAGCAGGTCCGGCAAAGAAGTTATATACAGGGAGCACAGAAGGAGGGATGGTGGGGAAGTAGGAGAGAAGGGGGGCTGTCTCTTATACACATCTAGATGTGTATAAGAGACAGAGCCTGTGATGCAAGCTCCTGATCAAGCCTTGCCTTCTCCTGCACACATTTATTTAGCAGCGTTGTGCATTAGCGGTGCCACAAGCCACAACCATGGTTAAATTATGGGTTCACTGACAAACAACTATCGTGTTGAGAGAACTTGAGACCAAATCTAGCAGCGTTGTGTATTAGCGGCGCCACAAGCCACAACCATGGTTAGCGGATCCACAACCATGGTTAAATTATGGGTTCACTGACAAACAACTATCCTGTTGAGAGAAGTTGAGACCAAATCCCTCTTCAGTGTCCACGCCTTCTACCTCCAAACACAACACAATGCATATGCATAATAACTTTGTTCAGAACAGAACAGGGTTGTATAAGTTCATTATGATGGGGAATTATGTTGGGAGGAAGCAGGAAGGAGTCCGTAGGGCTTAATCAGTCATTGTTATTAATGAATTAATAACAAATTAACAATTCGTTTTTTTTTTTGTTTTTTTTTTTCCATGTTGTTAAAGGTCGACCTTTGGTATTTGTTGCAACAACCAGTCTTGGAAGTTTGATGGAGTTCGAAGTTTGAACTCATAACTTCATAAGGTCTTTATTACCACTTCTAGCCATGCAGCAGCAGGGTACAGGCATAGAGTTAGAGACATGCTTTTTTCCTTTTCTTTTTATTTTAGATCACGAGGCCCCTCCTCCCTCGTGATCTCAACATGATCCCTAGCGCATTCCCCATCTTAAGAAACACCAAGGAGGCCTTCCAATGTTCTAACATGTCTATCTGACAGCACGCGCCAGCACTGGGGAACACAACCCAGCAAGCCCTAGGTGAAGCTCACACCAGACGAGCCCTGTCGTACGACCACTTGGACGCCAGGCATGATTATTTGGGTACCAACCCCATAACTGTATGTGCTATCTTTATGCGATCTGTGTATGAAGACCGCATGTTTACAGACCATTTGAGCTGCAGACAGGCGTAATCTGGAAGGTTTTTTTTTTTTTTTTTTTTTTTTTTGGAAAACCGAGCTCAGGTTGCTAGGCAGGGCGATAAGAGAACCCCACCTAATACCCTTTCGCCGGGTCCTCCGTTCTATTGGTGGGGAGCCTCACCTGCTGGAAACCGGTTCCCAGCATCCCATATACAATTATTATGTCCAATGCAAATCAAGCATGATTTCACAGTTTCAAACAGTCTCAAATCAAGCATGAGTTCTTCCGTATCTATCATGACAGGGCCGAATCAAAGGCAAGGCCTGTATGTGTAATTTACTAAGTTCTATGTGCTCTCTCTCTACGGAGTCTGTACGCTTTGCAGGCTACAGACACATGCAATCTGTTGTAGTCTACAGGCACACCTGGCTGCCAACACATGTGATCTATAATAGCCGAAGTTCCAGACCAATGTGTACCCCCCCATAAGCCCATTTTATTGCTAGGAGGCCCTCATCTTCCCTAATCCCCCTCTACAAGCTAGCTAGTCTGCCCACATTGGCTATCCCTACGGTTGCTCAGAATGGCAGCCACCACTACCCTCTTGAATACAGCTGTGCCCTGATGAGGAGAAGACAGCATTCAAAAAACGAAAAAAAACAAAAAAAAAGGCACCACTACCCTCAGCAATTGTCCCTATGCTTGCTCAGCCCAGTCATCCATTAACAATGTCCTATCTTATCATCTCCCAGGTGCCAACCATCMCCCCCCTACAGCGATAGACCCCCCCCCCTCCTCCCCGCCCCCCCTCCCTCTCTCCAGAAGCAGACCAACTGACCCCTATGGCCCTCGCTGTTCCTACCGTTGCTTGGAACAATGGCCCCAACAATGGCCGCAACTGCGCCTACGGTTGCTCATACCACTCACTATCTCCAACCCCAACGCTGAATATCTTCCCCTACGGCAGCTCGGAAGAGTGACCTCCCTAGCCTCGCTCCATTAGAACGGGCCTGTGGAAAATGATCTTTGACTGTGGAATGTTGTGATCCTTGCCCCCGGGACACGACTCTTACCTAGAGAAGTATCCTTCGCCTGTGGAATATGACTTTTCAATATGGGACTTGACTTTTGCTTACCGAATGCAACCTTTGCCTCTGGGATATGCCTGTTCACCGGGTGCCTGTAGGACTTGACTCCTAAGGTACCCGACTGTGATCTTTCTGAACTGGCCCCTGACTTGTGTGCAATGGTAAATAACACACACGTAAGACGCAGAGTAGAACTCACACGCGAGACGTAGAGTGGTCACTTCACACAGAAGTAAGACAAAGTACAGTTCATAGTGACATAGACAATTAAGGTACCCGACTGTGATCTTTCTGAACTGGCCCCTGACTTGGCCTTCCTTGGCCTGAGACCTTTTTTGACCCTGAAAATTCGAATTTCGGGTCTGCATCATGGAATGGCTTTCATAAATTAAATCTCGCGATTGTTCCCTCAAAGTTCACAACTGTATATCTCTTCTTATATTTTCTGCAATTTTGTTCCCCCCTCCCTGCAATTTCAAGTTCCTCATGGCATGCCAGTCAGATATTTAATAATAGACTAAAAGACTAGTAATAGTAATATAACGATATGCGGCATCGTACGCCCCTTTGTTTTTTTGTTTTTTTTTTTCATAATTTTTCAATTACACGTCATGGGTTTCTTGCCGTCTTTCAGGAGGAAAGCCCTGGACTAACAACGCTAACGCTGCCGAAAAATCACAATCGTCATTGGTTGCAGAATACCAAGAAGACATGCAACGATGTAAAGTTAGAAAGAACAACTGTCGTGAACGTGTCAACGGAGGTGAGGAACGGAGAGCACAAAACAAGGATGAAAACATGTCATTCAGGATGAAGTTGATGAAGAGAACGGAAAACGACAGAGAGCGAACAGCCAACACAAAAGGGAAGCGACGAAAATGATGAGCTCCATAGATATGACCATGGAGTGGAATTTCCACGAAGCACAAATCTGTGCGAAACTGCTGAGAAAATCTGTACGCATTTCAACTTTCAAGTCTTTAACCATCCACCAGAACGGCATGGGCAGGGAGCTTGCCCTGATGAATGGAGCTCTAATTGAAATGAATAGATAATTTTTTATTTTTTTTAATATAAATTTTGAAACTTGTTTAGTAAAAACTTAATAAAAAGTTACTCTGCTAATGACAATCCATTCTTTCTTTTTGTGTAAAAATTTACTATAAAAAAAAAAAAAAAAAAGGTTGAAAAACTTCAAAACAGACATCATAACTTGCCCTGAGGAATTGTGCAGCATCCCGTCTCGCTTTTCCATGGATGTGAGTGAGTTCCTTCCGCGCTCGCACGATCCTTTGCTTAAGAATCTGCTGAGCGATAACCATTTTCCAAGCCAGGCCTATGAGCCTCCTCTCACAGCTGTGAGGGGGGTGACCTGCTGGATCTCCCCCTCCTCCCATTCTTGTAGGGTGCTTGACTTGTCCTTGACTTTGCCTCCCTCCTTCCACTGCACCTGACCTTACGCTGCTGCAAGAGAGAAGGGCAATGTAATCTCGATCTGGCTCCGACATTGACGACGTCGCCATCCCACGGCTTGCGGCTTTTGATCGGTTCTCGCCTTGCAGCCTCTCGGCAAGTATCAGGAACTCGCCACAAATTGTATCGTCTTCCGCGGAACTTGTGTCCACACAAATTGTTTCAGACAAATTACAGAGATGTCATCAGAAATAGTGCTCAAAGTTCGCTCAAACTACAATATACTATAGTAAAATATTCCTAAAATCGTAAAAATAGTAAAAATACAGATTTCCAATTTGAATTTCGCATTCCTGACTTTTCTAAACTGAAAATCTCCAAAGACTTCAAAAAAGGAAAGACCCTGTGTGACCAAGAACTGGACAAGAAACAACATATATGGGCTCTTTTTTTTTTATTGGCCAGTACTTAGTCTTATCAGGCAATGTGGTGAGGAGGAGGGTTAAAGATAGGAAAAAAAAAAAAAAAAAAGATGGTGCCGGCGAGTAGCCCATTTTCTAATTTGGAGGTTGAGAACTTTTGGATTTGCTAGTTTTTTTTTTTGTTGGGGTCGGTTGGAAGCTTTTTAAGCTGTTTTTTCCAGAGGGCGTGGATTTTTGTGTCTATTAGTTGTCTGATTATGGTGAGTGGGTTTTCGGCGGTCGTGAGTCGGTCCTCAAAGGTGTTGTTGCATCTGTTTTTCCATATGGCCCATAGGGTGCTTTTCTTGATTTGGGAGGAGAGGAAGGTTTCAAAGCCTTTGAGCGGGGGTGATTGTTTGTGGTTGAGGAATTGTGTGGCCTGGTTGATTAGAAGGGGGGAGTTTGAAATTTTGTCCCATGATCATTCTAGCGCTTGCCAGAGGGATCAGGCCTTTGGGCAATCAATGAAACAGTGATTCAAGGATTCAGGGGCGTCGAGATTGCATACTTTGCACCAGGAGTCCTGTTCCGATCTGTTACCTTGATTACGTCTGTTGGCCAACCATTGGTTTCCTGGGACAGCTCTGTAGGCTATTGGCCATCTCAGGCTGGCTAGCTTAACCGGTCTTGTGGAGAGCAATGTAGCCCAGGGAAGTTTGAAGTGGGAGTTGGCTAGTTGTGGTACCTCTTTTGTCCACCTGTTGCGTACTGTATTGGATTTTTTTTTATTTATTTTTTTTAACTTGAACAGCATCTGTTCTGTAGGTCGTACACTTCCTGTATCTACTGTATTGGATATTGATATGGGTATGGTGAAGAGTTGGTAACCCAGTTTGGGTGTGCAGTCAGTTAGCTTATGAGTTTGAGATGAGGGAGGAACCAGATGGGGAGTTCCATGTCCATTCCGCGGGGTCGATGTGTCTCTAGGTCACACACGCGAGTATGGGGTTTATAACTTTATAGACTATTTTCCTAGGCGTGCAATCCTACATGGCCTACATGTCATTGAGCTTAGATGAACCAATTAACCAGCTTTGGGGAGCATGTAGGGTTAAAGTTATACCCATGGTTAACCTTAAAGGATTCGATTCAAACTTAAAAGTTAAAAGTTTACATAGTCCGGACTCCAGACCCATACTGATTAACCTTAGATTATTAAAAAAAAAAAAAAAAAAAAAAAAAAAACAACAACTTAGATGGATGGTCCAATTATTAGCTTGAGAGCATGTAGGATTAACCCATGATTAAATTAAATGATCCAAGTAAAAGCTTCACACGGTTCGAACTTCGAACCCAAATTGATTAACCTTAGATGATCCAATTAACAGCTTTTGGCAGGGTCATTAGTTTCACACACTTTCTCGTTTTCAACTGTCGTCTTGAACTCTGAACAAAATTCATTCTGAAGGAAATTCAAGCAAAACGGAAAGATGACAGATGTCGCAACAGATGTCGCATTCTCGGGATAACATCACCAAGCTCGGCAACACTGGAAAAAACAAAAAACAAAAAAGCTGGGTAAGCTTACCTGAAGCCAATGTGCGGTTTTGGTAGCCAATGCAGTCCATTGTGATGAGCGTTCTCCAGCACAGATTCTGCAACAGCAGCAAAAAAAAAAAAAAAAAAAAAAAAAAAAAAAAAAAATTCAGAAGACTCAGAACTACAGAAGTATGTCAATTGCAGTCATGGTTACGATCTGAACGTCCAGATTCCTGTCCAGACTATCGGAGTACGGATTTCCGGCCGGGCGTCCGGTCTGGCGTATGCAGATAAGGAGCAAAATGGCCAAATCTGATTCCC